TTGAAGAACTCCACAACTGATGGTGGAAGTAGAGGAACCGAAATTACTGATGTGTACTATAAAAGTCCTATTACAGAGATAGGACTCAAACCAGCTCAGCACTGTCCCATTATGGCCTACCATGTGCTCAAGACGCTGAATGAGTTAGTTGTGGTCGACAGTATGGAAAGCAGCTGTAAAGTCCAGCAAAACCAGATTAGCACACTTTCCTGTATCAACAGCAAGCAGCAGGTCATTGGTCACCTTTAAGAGTCAGTCTAACGGGGGGCATCATATGATAGGCTTCCGAGAAAACACTGGCAGTGTGGGAGTTAATGGTTCGATAGCAGTGGCTCGAAGGGGATGTCCAACAAGCTCATACAGGGGTGATGGTCAAGTGTCCACATACTTTTGGCCACATAATGCAAGGCATCCAATGACTTTATAAGAAACCCCTCTCTTGCAGTTTGAGTGTTCCTGTTAGAAATCATCTAGTCCTTCCCAAGTGGTCAGTTTCTGCTCTTGTCTGGATCTTTCTAGGTGGTGGTCCACTCTCAACCTAGCATCTGAGTCAGTTTCTTTTTGCATCAGACCACCCAATGACTTTGTTTACATATCATTGACTAAATTAGGCAGAAATTGTGAACAATTGGTGGGATTTCCCTTTAAACTTGTTACTTGGGATTTTTCAGCTAATGTTATAACTGCAATGACTCCACTAGATGGCGATATTTCCTTTCAGCTCACAGCAGGCAGGCCTCAAAGCCATTCAGACTTCAGGTCAGTGTTTGTCTCTCACTATCTGACTGCGTGGACACAGTTGAACCTTTCCTCCATCAGAACATTCATTCGAGGTGCTTTAATATGACACGTGATGTTTCTACACAACACAGTTCAGAGTATTTGAAAAGTGATGAAGCTCTGGAGTTCAAGCTGAAGAAGAGTTCATTTGAAAGTTCTCTGACTTCAGATGAAGCTGTAGGTTCACCTTTACTGTGATTTCACACAGGAGCTGTCATAAATCTGAACCTGAGCAATCTGTGACCAATGACAAGCAATGATGTCACAACTGTAATTGTTCTTATGTCTCTGAACCTTTAGTCTCCTCTGTAGCTTTAACTGTACTTTGTCTAATTTGCATATAATCAGCAGAAGAGTATGAGTGTTTATCCAAGTCTAACTGCCCCTCTATGTATGATGATGCATTAAACTTCTCGTTTATTCGGCTTATTTATTTCTTTGTTCCTATTTAAGCCTTTTTGTTTCAATTCAGACTTTGCTTACATATACGCTCGTGCGAAAGTTTGAGCGCCCTGGTCAAATTACGTGTTTTGGTGATTTTCTACACTCTTAAAAACATTCTTAAACTGTTCTATAAAGAACCATGAACACTCAGAGAACCCTTTGCATGATTAAAGGGTTCTTTGCATCATGAAATGGTTCTTCAGAACATGCTGTAGATCAGGGGTCTTTGATTAAAATTCAATAAGGTCCATTTAGAGAACATTTCCTTAAGCAAAGGTCCAGAACATCATAATGTCTAACTTACATCATGACTCAGTGCCGTATACTGTTTACTGAAGTAGCCTAGTATGTCTATCAACATCTTATACAGTCAACAACTGAATATCAAATCAAATAAAGTACAATTCAGTAACATTTCAACAACATTTATTGTCAGTTTTCTCTTTTTAGAGCACGACGTGTGAAATAACTTCCCTCTGACTCACTTTCTTCTCTGACTGCTGTTTCTTGCCTCGTCCCTCCCCTGTGTGTGCATCACTCTCTCAAGTCTCAGTGCTCAACATAATGCACAGATCTGATTGGCTGAGTAGCGTCACGTGACATTTACAACGCATGCGATTGGTCTGTGAGTCTCCCGGGCCGCTAAAGCTACCGTAAAGGCTAGAAAAGCTAAATTAAAATAGGATTCAAATGAAATCATTCTCAATAGTTTATTGGTTATAGGTCCAGGTCCACATAGTGACCTCTGCTGTAGCTGGTTCTATATAGATTCCTTTTGAAAAGGGTGCTATACAGAACCCTTTTCAAAAAGATTCCTACTAAAGAAGAACCTTTCCCTTACCAAAGACCCCCTGAAGAACCATCTTTTTTAGGAGTAGAGGTGTAAATGAGTGAACACGTCCTCTACAGTGAACACGCTTCTGCACATTTATTGCACAATTACTGTTTATTTTGCTGAATTTAACATATTGGGAAATAGTAAATCCTAAAATGTGCCCTGTACAAAAGTTATGGCACATTTTTTCCCCCAATGCGTTATATGTTCTTTGTAATATGACATTCCATGCTGCAAGATTTTTTTGGCATGTATTTGTTAACATACAATGGAAATAAGTACAGTAAATGTGATTTAAGGTATTACATGGAATTTATCCGGCGCAAGGTGTTTTGGAAAGATTTAATTTAGATATAGATGATACCTGTATTTTTTGTGGATTAGAAAAAGAAACAATTGTTCGTTTGTTTAATCAGAGTGTTTACCAAGAACGTTTTGGATAGATATGAGCATCATACGCGTTGATATGTTTGATGTTTTCTTTTATTTTAGATGTGATGAGTTTGTATAGTTTCATTTATTTGAGAAGTTTCATATTCATAAAGTAAAACAGTCTCTCTCCAAACCTAATTTGACATATTGTTTGAAATATGAAAGCACTAAAGGCCATCAATGCAGTAAAAGAATTGAATATAATGTGATGGATTTTTTGTCTTTTTTTTGTCTCTATGTATCCCTGGCAATGAATGAATGTATATTTTTGGTTAATAAATGTTATTAATAAAATAATGTACGTAATTTTAGTTACTGTTGTCTCTGGAGATTCCCCTCCTCGCCTCCAGAGGTCTCTCTCACCTCACTTTTGAGCTGTTATTAACCTCTTACAGTCCCAGGTTTGTTACATACTAAGACTTCTTATTCAGTAACAATGCAAACATGCTGAGTTGTTGTCAGGTTATAAAAGTGTGTTGTAAAACTTCAGACCTGCTGGTGGGTCCTGACCATTTAAGGGGTCTCTACATGTAATCAGTATCATTTTTAAAGGCCGTCCACTCAGCAGCTCTTATTTGTGTTTTGTGCCAAGTCTAAGCAGTTATGTTTGGTTGTTTCACCCGTTTATTAACCAACTGGATTTTGTATCTGGACCAGTCCTTCTTGCTCTAACTGGCTTTTAAGTGATGTAATATTCAGCTAATTGTACAGCCTCAGGCAAAAGTTTGGGCGCCCCAGTCAAACTGCATGTTTTAATGAATTTGTAATTGCAAAAAAGTAACATCTTTTATAGAGAACACAATTAAACATGTGATTTTCTGCTAAATCTAATGCACAAAAAATGCTGGAAAAAAACCCTAAATGTGGGACGTGCTCACATATTTTACATTCACTGTGACTTAATTTCACCTAGAAAATCAACAAATCGTAATTTTACCAGGTGTCCAAACTATTGCATAGGACCGTTTAGATGAACTAACAGTGTACATTTGAATTGTTTTAATAACGTGTCTTTTTCATACTTCTATTCACAATCAAGACTGGATGTTCTGTTGTTTTGGTAAAAATCAGTCCCATGTGATCAAAAGACTGACTTTAATATGATAAATTAACAGGTAAATCTCACTTTTTAGCCATACAGTTTGATCAATTTGAAACATTTTTTTAGATTTGTGAGAACATATGCAACAAATGGTCAATTTCAGAAATGGACATTAACGGACTAAAGAAAGCGGTGAAGTACAGTGAAGTATAAAGTAAACTTACAGTGCAATATATACAAAACAACAGGTCACTGAAAATGCATGTTTTTATGTTTATTATAGAGTGACATTATAAGCCAATATTTCTTATTACATACATTTATATATATATATATATATATATATATATATATATATATATATATATATATATATATATATATTAGTAGCGCTTTTGCAACACAAATTCTAAAATATAAATAAATGAATGCAACATAATCCCATTAATTAAAATATAGTTCAATTTAAAAAACAGATTTTTCAAACATTCTAACATTCTGCATCAGTCAATCGTTAAAATGTTAATATATCCCATATAGAACCTATATAGTGAGCCTGTAAAGTAGTTGGAGTTCATAAAGTGAACAGAGAGTGAAAATACAAAATAAAAATCTGTAATAAAAATTGCTGCCCAATTTGTGACACAAGTGCATTAAAAATAGTACATATAACAGGACAGCTGGTGACCACCTACTACTTGGGTGATCAGGGGACGTTGTGTGGTGCTGCAAGTGGTGTCACTGAGTGATCGTCTGAGAATACGCAGCCTGCAGCAGTTCTGGAAAAAGAAAGAAAATGTGATAAATGATCTATAATTCATTTATCATTAATTATAAGTAATGCTTATAATTAATTATCAAATTATGAGTATAATTGTATTAAAACACATTTAATAAAACTACACGTGATGCAAAGATATGCCTTTTCCGTGTCAAATTGTTTTATGATGTTGTTCCGGTTCATCACATCACACACATCACATCCGCACATGTGTTTTTTTCCCAACGTGTTCAGACCCACATATACAACATAGATAAAATGAGGTAAAAAAAAGGTTTTCATGTGAAATGCTTTGTGAATCAGGACCTACAGTTAGTAGGCTCTCCTCAGCAGAGCTAACGGAGCTTATGGAGCTAACAGAGCTAACGGAGCTTACGGAGCTAACAGAGCTAACGGAGCTAACGGAGCTAACGGAGCTAACAGAGCTAACGGAGCTAACGGAGCTAACGGAATTAATGTAAATGTAGCTAACTTCAGTTAGCCAGCTATAATGAAAAATAATGAACCAGGATTTACATTTACGCCACATTATACTCTATTTTCTTCACAATTAGTTGGTTTAGAATGTGTTTAATATCCATAATGGACTATTTGTAGAGTTTAAAATTGTCGTTAAGGCCTTCATAAACAAGTTTTTCTCTGTTTATCTTCTGACTTTTTCCTCAGATGCTCTTCGCCCTTAGTGTTCCTGATGCTGATACAGAATGGTGAGCACGTTTTACACCCAATAAACAAAAATTTAAAAGACTAGAGCTTCACTGAGGTTTCAGTAAGAAATAAGCAGCACAGGGAAAACTAAAAGCCAGACTGTGCCTGGACACTTCTGACTTTATGTGTGTTTTGGTGTCCCTTTCAGCGTTTTTGCAGGACGTTGAAAGTTTTGTGGGAGACGTCGTCATCTTGCCATGTTCGAACAGTGATAAGGCACTGCTGCGCAAACTGAGAGCGTTCTGGAGATTCAGAGACAGCAGCACCGTGTACGACGTCATTGAGAGCAGAGCGTCGCTGGATGACCAGGACGCGTTGTTCAGAGGCCGAGTTGACAGCTTTCCAGACGAGTGGGCAAAAGGAAACTTCTCTATCAAACTCAGCAGTGTGAAGAAGACGGACGGAGGAACGTACACCTGCTTCCTTCCTGCTATCAACACTCAAGCATCAGTATATCTCACTGTAAAGGGTGCGTCCGACTTTAACCTACCCATCAGTAGTGCTAATGACATTAGGAATGTTCAAGATGCGAAACAATCAAACCTCAAACATGTTTATGTTTATTATTGATATAAATAATTCATTTATTACTATAAATAATTATACTATTACCAGGAATGTTCACAATTAGAGTGCAGCATCATGACAGTGTAACTACCTTCTTTATTAATTCCATTCATTTTTATATAAACCTGTTCATCAACCTCAGCAACAGAAGCATAAATATTAATACATGCGGTTCACTATCACTGTATTTATTGAAAACTATATATTACCCTGGTTGCCCGGCCGGGAAATCGAACGCTAAGAAAAATATTACCTGCCACACTTAGCCTAACCAAGTACTGTAAAGTGTACTTCACCCAGCTTACTCAACAGCTGGGGCACAAACCTAAAAGCTCTGAGCTCACAAACAGAAAGGAGACAGTGTTGTTACACAGCACTCCAGCTTTGTGGGGCTTTTTTCCCCTTTCAAGCATCACTTGAGTGCTACAGATCCCTGCCTAACAACTGCCAAACACACAAGCAAAGAAATCAACAAATGTTTGTCCTACCCTGACGCAGAAGAGCTTCATGCAGCTGAACCTCCTCATTATTATTTTCTCTTTCTGTTCCCCGTCTGTGTCACGGATCCCCCCTTTGTCCCTCTGAGTGCGTCTGCTTCTTCCCCTCTATGGTAGCCATGTGTGTTTGGTCTTCCTGTGCCATGTGCTTTTGTTGTTCTGTGTCTCCTCCCTCCTCAAAAAAAACTCGCATTTGCATCTGCCTCCTCGCCTCCACTGTTACAGTCTGTGCAACATGCTCCTTCTGAGCTGGCTGTACAGTAGAGTGAGCACTGCTGTTAGACTGGAATGATATAATGGTGCGTGGAACCACAGCCCTTATCCACCCTTTTCCTGTGAGACATGATGCTTTAGACACAACTTCCAGCGAGACCTATTTAGTTATTTATTTTGTAATTAAATTCTCTAAACAAAGTCCAGTTAGGGGGGGATAAGAGAGTAAAATAAAGTTTCAGGTTTTCAAAGCTTTCTTGTTACAAGAAAGAGGAAGATTGGAATATCAAATAATGCGCCACGTCCTTGATAAAGTGATAAACAGGCCTCTACTCTTTTGTATCTTACTCTTATATGTACAACACTTTGCCAATGAAATAAACAGATATTAAAAAGTTAAAATATTAAAAATATAAATTTTTCAATTCATTTTGAGGACAGTTTCTAGATAAAAGTTCAAATTCACTATAAATAAAGTCCCGGATGAAGCTACAAATTTTTGACAGTAGTCTGGCCACAAAGCCAAAATAGATAAAACGAGTTTCTGGCTGAAAACACAGAAAGTACAGGCTGTAACAGTGGACACCTTAAATCACTCCCCATGAGGTGTAAATAGACAATGGACCCTTTTCACAAAGAGCTTACTTCTGGTTTAAAGCATTAGCAGGGTAAAACTCACTCACGCTCCATGAGGCACTGGCAAAACAGCCTTGTGACATATAGTGAGAATAAGAAGTGGATGGAGGCGCTGATTTAACTTTAAACAGAGCTAAAATGCTGTAACACAACATATCTGACAGTGAATGTGTGCTGCTGCTGCTGCTCGCTGACCGATGCTGCTGTGTGCTTCCAGAGCCCCTTGTCCCAGAGGGAGACAGTAATCCTTTGTCTAAAAGGTGGAACGGGGTGGAGGCAGGTAGACCAGAGGCTCAAACGGAGGAAATGCCTGAGTGCCCTGAACAAACTGCTGTTTTGTGAACGCAGATTGTATCATAACAAATCGACTGTCCTGTCGTTCATCTTCGACATGTTTTGTATCACATGACCATTTTAATGAGCTACAGTGGGTTTAATGAGAAAAAAACAAAGGTTTTGTGATACGAGATACAGCAAGATGGAATTGCGACAGTTAGGGCTCATTTACGGCGCTGCGCCAGTGTCCCCGAAAACTCGCCAAACAGAGTCGGTACAGAGATGTTATAAAGGAGGAGACCAGTCTCTGGTTGAAATATGAATGGGAAAGCATGTAACGCACAACATGATATGTGCTTAAGTTGTGGGGATCTGAGCGAGCGCAGTAGCCAGTATAACCTGAAAAAAATACATTTTTGATGTGTTACTGAGGCAAAAACTACAAACCATTTATGTTTTATTGCCAGATTTTTTCAATGATTTCAAATATGTTCTTGAAACACTAATTCACCCTCCAGTTTTGAGTAATTTGGTCTTTTCCCATTCAAAGAAATAGATGCCTAGTCTTGTATGACTGGAAATAACTGCCCAGTGGCACAGTATTCTATCTGAGGTGTGACCCTGTTGGTGCCTGGCCTGCTTATGTATAATATTTCATTATATCAAAAATCTTCTCAGTTTAAACTGTGTTTCTTTACGTTTCACAATCTGTCACTGTAAACTGAATTATTATTGTTTGTGTTCCACAGACACACCGAGAGTTCCTCCAGTTACGTCTGAGCCGAAGAACACGAACGTCCATACAAGACCAGGCAACCTTCTGCTTTTCCTCGCACTTCTGTTTGCATTTCATTTCTGCATGTCTGATGAGTGAGACTTTAAACCAGTTGCACAATATTTACAGTTTTAAAAAATCCCCCCTAAGCGTTTGTGGGCAATGTGCTATATGGGTAATTTCAATTTTAAAATGTTTTCTTTGGCTTAACTGTTGACCATATTGAGACCAGTCATGCATCAAGTGCTCTTCAGGCCAATACTGTGTTGGGGGGGCAGTAGTCCATCGTGGGCTGATGAAGACACTTTGTCATAAAAGTCAGTGAAAAAATAACTTGACTTAAGAATAATGAAATGTTTTAAATTAATGCATAATGTTAATACAAGCCCTGCAACAACAGTGCACCAAGGCAGCTTTGTACCTTTTTTGCCCCTTTGCCTTTCAAAAAATAATAAAAATGTCCCACTCAATTTGCCACCAATCTGCCTGATTTCTGTTATAAAACAAGATAATGTTAGGATAATCTGCTGATATATTATGTCCAGTGATAAGCATTGCATATTGAGGGGGCAGGCACCCAAATTATCCTATGGGCCTTCAAGATGATAGTGATAAATAGGTGGGCCGTGAGGTGGAAAGTGAAGTAGCCTAACTGGTATAAGTATTAACATCTCCCTAATACATGAAACACTCTAGGGAAGTTAAATATTTACCAAATCATCATTTATAGGTTATTTTCTATTGGGCGGTGCCTGTCCCAAACCTTAACCCCTAAATTTACACTTGTGAAAATAATAATTACTTTTTCCCACATTTTTTAAATCTTTTTTATTTATTTTCAAGTGAAACTGAAAGATTTTTGATTTTCAAATAAAAAACTTTGTCGAAAAAATTCTGTCTTGTGTTCATGTCACTACCAAAACACAGAAAAAGAGTTTCAGTGAGTAAACAGCATCTAATTGTAGCCATTTAGAGCATTTTAGAGCAGGACCTGAGACTGCACCCCCGTCTCTCCTAGCTGTAAAAGTACAATCCAATTTTACCCTAATTCGATGCCTCTTTTTGAGTAGTGCCATGCAACACAAATTCTCAAATATAAATAAACAATATTAATTCCATTTAATAAAATACAATCAAATGATGTTTTTTCAAAAAATCTGCATAATTCAATCACTGACATGCAAGCAAAATAATCCAGAGTGGTTTGATTGTAGAGAAACTTAATGACTCTGTTTTCTTCGTATTCACTGTCCAAAACCTTTGCGTGTCTTCTGAGGGGACTTTCTGCTGGTGGCCAGTTTTGGTTCCAGGTTCGCAGCCTAAATTTCAGTTCCACATGACTCAACTCGTCTCTGCCAGGTGATGGTGTAGGGAAACTGTGCTGGATTCAGTTCCTCACTCCTGCCGCAATGCTTTCCAGTGGAGTTTGCATTCTTCAGACGTACTGTCATGTTCTAAACGTAGTGTTGTAGCTGTAGTATTGTAACAGTCAGGTCGTAACAGTAGTGTTGTAAAAGTTATATCATAACAGTAGTATTGTAACAACAGTATTGTAATAACAGTATTGTAAGAGTAATGCTGTAAGAGTAGTATTGTAACAGCAGCAGTGTAACAGTATTATTGTAACAGTTTTGTAATAGCAGTGTTGTAAGAGTTATATTGTAACAGTTGTATTGTAAGAGTAGTGTTGTAAAAGTAATATTGTAACAGTCAGGTTGTAACAGTAATATTGTACCAGTTTTATTGTCAGTAATATTGTAACAGTAGTGTTGTAACAGTAGTGTTCTAAGAGTTATATTGTAACAGTAGTATTGTAAGAGTAGTATTGTAAAAGTAATATTGTAACAGTAGTGTTTTATAGTAGTATTGTAGCTGAAGTATTGTAAGAGTATTGTTGTAAGAATAATGTTGTAACAGTCAGGTTATAACAGTAGTGTTTACAGTAATATTGTAACAGTCGTATTGTAACAGTAATATTGCCAGTAATATTGCGACAGTAGTATTGTAACAGTAGTATGCTAAGAGTTATATTGTAACAGTAGTATTGTAACAGTAGTATTGTTAGTAATATTGTAACAGTAGTATTGTAACAGTAGTATTGTAACAGTAGTATTGTTAGTAATATTGTAACAGTAGTATTGTTAGTAATATTGTAACAGTAGTATTGTAACAGTCATATTGTTAGTAATATTGTAACAGTAGTATTGTTAGTAATATTGTAACAGTAGTATTGTAACAGTCATATTGTTAGTAATATTGTAACAGTAGTATTGTTAGTAATATTGTAACAGTAGTATTGTAACAGTAGTATTGTTAGTAATATTGTAACAGTAGTATTGTGACAGTAGTATTGTTAGTAATATTGTAACAGTAGTATTGTAACAGTAGTGTTCTAAAAGTGATATTGTAACAGTAATATTGTAACAGCAGTTTTGTAAGAGTAGTGTTGTAAGAATAGTGTAGTAACAGTAGTACAGTGTGTCCTCTGCTTACAGTGTTAACATCCTGTTAGAATCTAGGTGAAGTGGCAGTTGTCTTTATTATTTAGCGGAATGGGAGAGTACGAGGAGGAACACTCATGGGGACCCTCCCATCCTGTTTATTTTCTTGTTTTGAAGATTTCCACAGGGAACACCCTCCCAGGCCCAGGGGCTGACCACGGCACAGGAGGTTTCTCTGACAGGCATCAGAAGCTGACCGTCAGAGAAAGGGTTATGTCACAAATCTGAGTCTTGTTTTACATGTGTGTCTACTCTAGTAACATTTTACACGTGCCTTCAAATGCATGTACTTAAGAGAACAGTACTAAAAGTAATTCTTATTAAGTAAAAAGGCTAATGATTGTAAGATATACTTGGCTTATTCTTTTTTCTATATAAACAAATAAGAAATTTCAGTCTAATCGCTATACACACACACACACACACACACATGCATATATATAGTGACACCACCATAATCTGGCAATCAATCAAAATACTGGATTCATATACAACCCTGTTTCCTAAAAAGTTGTGATGTGGTGTAAAATGTAAATTTTAAAATCTAAATTTAATTGAAAATAGTACAAAAGACAACATTTTAAATGCTGACACTGAGAAATGATATTGTTTTTTGACAAACATATACCCATTTTGAATTTAATGCCAGCAACACATTTAAAAAAGCTGGAATAGGGCACCAAAAGATGGATAAAGTTGTGTAATGCTAAAAATAACACATGATGGAACATCTCACAACTAATTAGGTTAACTGGCAACAGGTCAGTAACATGATTGGATATAAAAAGAGCATCTCAGAGAGGCTGAGACTCTCAGAAGTAAAGATGGGGAGGGGAAATAATATGCAAGAAAAAGGTGTAACAATTGAAGAATAACATTTCCCAATAACAAAGAACTTGGGGATTTCATCATTGACGATACATAATATAATTAAAAGATTCAGAGAAATCTCTGTATGCAATATCTTTGGGCCCTCAGGCAGCACTGCATTAAAAACAGACACAATTCTGCAGTGGAAATCACTGCATGGGCTCAGGAACACTTTCAACAGGAACACAGTTCATCACTGCATCCACAAATGCAAGTTACTACTCTATGATGCAAAGAAGAAACCATTCATAAGCAGGATCCGGAAACGCCACCGCCTTCTCTGGGCCCAAGGTCATTTAAGATGGACTGAGGCGAAGTGGAAAATGCCCGCTGGCCTGATGAATCAAAAATTGAGATTCTTTAAAGAAATCATGGATACCGCGCTCTCTGGGCTAAAGAGGAGAGGAACCGTCCTGCTTGTTATCACAGCACAGTTCATAAGCCAGCATCTGTAATGGTATAAGGGTGCATTAGTGCATGTGGCATGGGTGACGTGCACATCTGTGAAGGCAGCATTAATGCTGAACGATATATACATGTTTTGGAGCAACATATGCTGCCATCCAGATGACGTCTTTTTCAGGGAAGGCCTTGATTATTTCAGCAAGACGATGTCAAACCACATTCTGTATGTATTACAGCAGCATGGCTCCGTATTAAAAGAGTCTGGGTGCTAAACTGACCTGCCTGCAGTCCAGACCTGTCACCACTGAAAACATTTGGCGCATTATGAAATGAAAAGACCCTGAAGAAGAAGACCCTGAACTGTTGAGCTGCTGAAATACTGTATCAAACAAGAATGAGAACACATTTCACTTTCAATGCTACAGCAATTTGTCTCCTCAGTTCCCAAACGCTTACAGAGTGTTGTTTAAAGCACAGTGGTAAACATGGCCCATCCCAACTTTTTTGAAACATGTCGCTGGCATCAAATTCAAAATTTGATATGTTGTCTTTGTACTCTTTTTAATTAAATAAAGGGTTTAAATGATTTGCACATCATTGCATTCTGTTTTTATTTACATTTTGCAAACTTTTTTGGAAATGAGGTGAACAAACACCACTATAAAGACTATTTTTACCGTAAACTACACGCTTTTGAGCGTTCCACTGATTCTGTCAAAAATGTCTTCAGAAACACAGGTCTGGTCACATTCATTTCAGTTTTTGTTTTTTTCTGTGTCAGTGGCTGCAAGTTCAGATCAAGAATAGATCTACAGTTAGGAGGGAGAGAACTCAGAGCTGTCTGATTTCTTTTACAGACTCTGTCCTCCATGCATCTCTGTGTATATTAGTGTATATCTTTTGATCTCAGCATATATCTTTTTATATATATTCTAATCAATGATCTCAGTGTATATCTTTGATATATTTTCTGATCAATGATCTCAGCATATATCTTTAGATATATTCTGATCAGTGATGTCAGAGTGTATCTTTTGATATATATTCTGATCAATGATCTCAGCATATATCGTTATATATATTCTGATCAATAAGGTCAGAGTGTATCTTTTGATATATATTCTGATCAATGTTCTCAGCATCTATCTTTTGATATATATTCTGATCAAAGATCTCAGTGTATATCTTTATATATGTTCTGATCAATGATCTCAGCATATATCGTTATATATATTCTGATCAATGATCTCAGCGTCTATCTTTTGATATATGACAAACAGCCAATGAGCTACTCCGCTCACCAACCAATCAGCACTCAGTAGC